GAATGTGTGACGGTGGACAAAATTACCGTGTTGTCACCGTACAGCGGTGTCTATAAATATTGTTACAATACATATTATGGTACCTACAATGGTATCACAGCTATAGGTATTATCTAATTTATAATAATATGTTCTTTTTTATTAATTATAATAACATGTTGAATGTTTATACTTACATTTTTTCTTATGTTAAATATTATATTATTATGTTCTTTATTAAAATCTTAATATTATGATAATAATATAGGTACTTATTTTTTTTATTAAAAGCTTTAATACAAATGTACAATTAAATATATTATCTAATTTATAATAATATGTTCTTTTAGATTCTGAGTGAAACAATGAATTTATTGATTTTACAATGCTGTGTGTTTTTTTTAAAATTTTTTTTGTGTCTGTGTACACGATAAGTGTTTATTAGTGTTTAATGCTTCGATTTTCGACTTCAGTATCTTGTTCGATTGGAAAGTGAATATCATTAGTGCATTGAGGAGGTCAAAATTTAAAATTCCCAGTACTTTTCAAAAGCGCCAAGAAAAACAAAAGAAAAATTAAGGAAAAACGGGAATTTTCACGCAAAATCGAGTTTTCAAAAAATTGAATTTGGTTTTTGGTGTAACTTTAAAACAAATGACCGTAGATACATGACATTTTCACTGGTTGTTTATATTTGCATTTTCTATACACGATAAAATTTTCAAAATATTTTGATTTATTTTTTACTGTTTAGGGACATTTTCATTTTTCATTTTTTTTTAGTTTTTTTCTAGAAATATCAATAAAATTTTATTTGTTGGTTAAAATAACTTGAAAATTTAATAGAAGGCTCCTAGTATATTGTTTCAAAGGCAGATGAAAAATATTGAAAATCGTTAGTCACAGTTTTTTTTTATAAGCATTTAAAGTTCAAAAATTGACAAAATATGGAAAAATCACGAAAATTAGCAAATTATTTTGAGTTAAGAATTCGTAAAAATTTTTCTTTTTAAATCTAAGGTTTTAAAATGTAATACAAGATTCCTCATAAGTTTGTCTACCTTTATCAAAAAAAAAATTTCTATAAGAAAGTCAAATTAAATTTTTATGAGCGTTTTAAATTCAAATTTTTCCAACATTGGATATTCACTCGATTTCTCATGTAGCGATTTCCTTATTTTGTTGTAATTCAAAAACGAATTATTGTAGATACATGAAAATTTCACTGAATATTTATATTAGCATTTCTTATAGACCATACAATTTTGAAAATATTTTGACTGTTTTTGAGCTTTTTACGGACATTTTCAGTTTTCAATTTTTTTAGTTTTTTTTTCTATAAATATCAATAAAGTTTTATCTGTTTGGCCAAAAAGTGTAAAAATTTAATACAAGGCTCCTGATATATTGTTACAATAGCAATCGAAAAATATTAAAAATACATAGCCACAATTTTTTTTTATAAGCATTTAAAGATCGAATTTTGACAAAATTTATCAAAATCTCGAAAATTATCAATCATTGTAATTAATAAATTATAAAATGTTCAGTTTTTATAGCTAAGGATTGCAAATTTAAAACAAAGGTTCTCATAAATAGTTCATACTATAACCAACAAATCTAAAAAATATATGAACACAGTTATTTTTTACAGACATTTTAAATTCAAATTTGGCCGAAATTACATATTAAAAAAGCTAGAATAACTATTTTAGTTATTTTGTTGTGATTGAATAATATTATTCGTGGGTACTTGATTTTCTAAAGTGTACTATTATATATCTATGATAGTATCACGGTTTTTGTTGATGTATAACGCGTTATAAGTACCTAATGGATATTGTGATATGATTAATTTGGAATTTATTATAGGTACCTATTATAGGTCATTTTTTTTATAATACCATAGAAATGTATATAATATGTCTTATACCTATACTGACATACCGCCTTCGCTCAGAATCGTTTTTCTTATACAATGATAATATATCGTTGAATTCAAATTTAATATCATCCATTATACAGTGACCCACTTGTAACCTACTGTACAGCAGAGCATCTTTTTTATTAATTATAATAACATGTTGAATGTTTATACTTACATTTTTTCTTACATAATATTATAAAATGTTCTACATCAAAATTGTAATATTGTTATAATAATGTAACTATTTTTTTTATAACATACAAGTTTTTTATTTTTTTTTTTAAATATGGATATTTTTGAGTTTTAAGAAATATAAACTGTTTAATGTTATTTAAATAACAATGATTAAAAAGATTTAAATACTATAGAATCGCCGCACAAACATATCTAAGATAGTGGCCCGGTAGGTAGGAATTAGGATTACCAACGCATAGGTTGTTAGGGGTTCCTGGTTCGAATTCGACATCAACAAAAAAAAAATTTGCGTGTTTTTACGTTTTTTGTTTATTTTTGTCACGGTATGTGCACGGTATTTTTCAACACTCCTACACGGTTACGGCACTGTACCTTTGTTCACTCTCGCACGGTTAGAACACCGACTCTAGTCTGACAAATGAACTATAATTTTAGTTGCACGCTAAAACGGTTCCTGAACCGACTATTGAGTTCTATCGGCACGGTGCTTCCCATGTAAAAAATCGGTATTAATTTTGATCAAAAACACAGTGCTGTGCACCGTTATAGCACGGTAACAAAAACCTAAAAATTGATGTAGGGCACCCAATGTGCACCAAAATTGTTACTCGGGTACAACTTTTATAGCTAAGGATTGAAAATTAAAAAAAAGGTTCCACGTAAATAGGTAAATAAATTACTTAATTCACAACAATTTCATCAGATATACTTAGTAATATATCATTGGCCGACTGTCCGCCTTTGCTCAGAATTGTTTTTCGTATGCAATTTATGATATTTTATCATTAAATTCAAATTCAACACCATCCATTACAGTGACCCACTTGTAATCTACTGTGCAGCAGACTGACACCCACTTGCCCACCCCTTTTTAAACATGAATACAAAACTATACTGGTAGGTAAGTTTTTTTCCTTAAGTCATTCATGTAGGAAAATAGTTTGACATAGTATAATATTTAACCCAAGTAAGTAATACATATATAGTATTAATTTAAAAGTAAACAAAAAGTTGGAAGTTAAGTTATGGAAAATTTAATTCGTATAACTTTCAAACCCAGTAACAGCCAATTAACATTACTATCTAAAATAATAGGTTCACATGTTCACACAATATTAATACATATTAAACAACTTATATTTTATCATATTATCATTATTTTATATTATATTATCAACTATACAAAAATCCAATTAATATTATAAATATTAATAAACAGCTTTTATCTACATACGTGATTATTCCAGTTAAGTTTTACTGTTTGCACAGCATTAATAAGGATTGATAAATAAATTAAAAAGAAAAATCATAAATTCGATTTTTATATATAATAATACATTATAGGTACGAATCATGATGGTAACCTATGGCCTATGGCCACAAGAGTAACAAACTTTCAAACGTGCCTATGTAACGTTTTTAGTTTCTGAGCCGATTTAGATTCTGACAATGATGTGTTTTTTTAAATTTTTTTTTTGTGTCTGTCATCACTCTTTAGCCTTTAGGACACTAAAAATGATTAGATTTTTTTTCAACAGTATATTTTCTGACTGGAAAGGGAATCTAGTTGGTACTTTAGGGGGTTAGCCTATTTATGTGGAAGTTTGTTTTAAATTTTAAATCCTTAGCTATAAAAGTTAAACATTTTATAAATTTTTAACTACTAAATAAATATTAAATTTAAAATTTGGTAAATTTTGTCAAAATTTGAACTTTAAATGCATATAAAAAGAAAATGTGCCTATGTATTATTAATATTTTTCAGCTGCTAAGGTAACAATATATCAGGAGCCTTGTATTAATTTTTCAAGCTTTTTGACCAAAAAAATAAAGGTTTTAACAACTAAAAACTATATAGGTAGTATTTATTCATTAAATAAAAATGTACTTACTGATTTTCATTTTCTGAAAAATATAACTTAATATGCAGTAAATTCATTAAAACATATAAAAATGTATCAAGAAATTTTTTTTTGTGTAATAGTTTCCTCATGAAAAATACAATAACCATCTCCTTAGATTTTAAAATATTATTATATTATTTTTACTCTACGGACCAATTTAGTGGTGAACACTGTTTTATTGTTTCCTGAAAACCAAGCGTATTTTGGAGTTACTGCTTTGTAGCTTATGGCGTCATCTCACTGCCGGATCCACAAAAGTATATTATGACAAAAAAATATATACGTAACAATATTATGGTAGGTGCACTTTGCATTCAACTTATTTTTTGACAACACACCAATCCTAATTTTAAACACTTTGAGGATAGCGACAACGTGACTTGCGATTTTTGAAGTGTTGAGGATGGGAGAAGGTTACCACGGTTTAATGTATATATATATAACAAATCAATTACAATTCAATGATAGTATCGTGATATATTACAATAGGTACACAAAACATGGTTAATACAAAATTTAAAGTTTTACCAAGTAGGTACAAAACAATTATATTATTTTAAAACGGTATATAGGTAGTAATATAGTATTATAACAAATCAATTACAGTGTAGTGACACGGGTCGACACTGTACTTATGCTAAGTACGCGTGTGGCAAACGGCGTGCATTGATCTCAAATAAAACGGAGTCGGACGAATATTGACAACGGGCGGCGAGTGGCACAACAGTGGGTACTATATTACTCCAAAACCTGCTGCAGGTTGACGGGCGGTCGATCGCGGAGGTGACCTGGTAACAACTGCGGTGCAGGTAACTTGGCGAATATCATTCCAAGTCCACTAAGTTCTGGCAGAAGCATATCCTGCTCTCCGCGTTCACCAGACACTTCCAGACAAATCGCCTCGACCTTTTCCACGCGGATTTTCGACGATCGGACCGTGGTGCAGGTGTCTGCGGGAGTTCCGGTGAAACGGTCTTCGATTCGCCGTACACAGGCTACGGCAACGGCGGTAGTCCAACAGCCGTTGATATCCTCCAACTGTCGACAACCACGTCCAGTGCGTCGATCATGCAGCTGACACGACGTGGAGGTCGCAGCGAGTCCTGTTTGACGGCGTGGTCTTGCATCGCCACACGACTATTTGGTTCCGCGGTTGATTGGTCAATCATCGATAAGACCAGCTTGCAGTACACAGGCGAGTCCATTTATTCATCTCTGGAGACGACTGGAACAGTTATCCGAATTCATGTCGTAATGGTGATCCGAAAGTGATCAATGATATAATATTATCATTGTATAAGAAAAACGATTCTGAGCGGAGACGGTATGTCAGTCTAGGTATAAGACATATTATATTAATATCTATGGTACTAAACCAAAATTTGACCTATAATAGGTCCCTATAATAAATTCCAAATTAATCATATCATATATGATACATCATATCATACATCAACAAAAACCGTGATACTATCATAGATATATAATTGTACACTTTAGAAGTTTCAAGTACCCATGATTAATATTATTCAATCGCAACAAAATAACTAAAATAGTTATTCTAGGTTTTTTAATATGTAATTTCGTCCAAATTTGAATTTAAAATGTCTGTAAAAAATAACTGTGTTCATATATTTTTTAGATTTTTTGGTTACAGTATGAACTATTTATGAGAACCTTTATTTTAAATTTGCAATCCTTATCTATAAAAACTGAACATTTTATAATTTATTAATTACAATGATTGATAATTTTCGAGATTTTGATACATTTTGTCAAAATTCCAACTTTAAATGCTTATAAAAAAAAATTGTGTCTATGTATTTTCAATGTTTTTGAACTAATATTGTAACAATATATCAGGAGTCTTGTATTAAATTTTTACACTTTTTGGCCAAATAGATAAAACTTTATTGATATTTATAGAAAAAAAAACTAAAAAAATTGAAAACTGACAATGTCTGTTAACAGCTCAAAAAGAGTCAAAATATTTTCAAAATTGTATGGTGTATAGGAAATGCTAATATAAACATTCAGTGAATTTTTCATGTATCTACAGTTGTTCGTTTTTGAATTGCAACAAAATAAGGAAATCGCTACATGAGTAATCGAGTGAATATCCAATGTTGTAAAAATTTGAACTTCAAAAGCTCATAAAAATTTAATTTGACTTTCTTATAGAAATTTTTTTTTTTAATAAAGGTAGATAAACCTATAGGGAATCTTTTATTACACTTTAAAATCTTAGATTTAAAAAGAAAAATGTTGAAAAAAGGAATTTCTAACTCAAAATAATTTGCAACGTTTTCCTGATTTTATAAGTATTTTGTCAAGATTTGAACTTTAAATGTTTATAAAAAAATTGTGACTAAGAATTTTTAATATTTTTCATATGCCTTTGTAACAATATTATATTAAGAGCTTTGTATCAAATTTTCAAGCTTTTTATACCCAACAAATACAATTTTATTGACATTCTTAGAAAAAAAAAACTAAAAAAATTGGAAACTGAAAATGTGAAAATAAAACACTCGTCATTGTAAAATCAATATGCATTTATTGCTCCGCTCAAAATCTAAAATAGTAAAATGTAATACAAAACTCCTCATAAGTATTTGTCTAGCTATATCAAAAAATAAATTGTTAAAAAATGTCTACAAGAAAGTCAAATTAAATTTTTATGAGCGTCTGAAGTTTATATTTTTACGAAATTATAATATATTCAATCGATTTCTCATATAGCGATTTTCTTATTTTGTTGTAATTCAAAAACGGATAACTATAGATACATGATACATAATTTTGAAAATATTTTAACTCTTCTCTAGCTAACGGACATTTTTAAATTTCAACTGTTTTAGTTTTTTTCTAAAAATATGAATAAAATTTTATTTGTTGTCCCAATAAGTGTGCACATTTAATACAATGCTCCTGATATGTTGTTTCAATAGCAGTTTAAAAATATTAAAAATACATAGGCACAATTTTTTTTATAAGCATTTAAAGTTCGATTTTTGAAAAATTTTATCAAATTGAATAATTATTTTGCTGTTAAAATTTTAAAAAATGTTCAACTTTTATAGCTTATGATTGAACACTTAAAACAAAATACCAAGTAAATTGGTTATATAGAAATTACTTTATTCACAATAATATCTTGAATATATAAATACTTAGTTATGATGATTAGTAGTTATATTGACTTCTATCAGAATCATTTTTCTTATACAATGATATTATATCATTGAATTGAAATTCAACACCATTCATTACAATGACCCACTTGTAACCTACTGTATAGCAGAGCGTCATCGTCACTCACTTTCCCACCTTCTTTTAGGCTTGGCGATGTAGATGTGTAATGTGTATTATGTGCCATAAATACACTTTTAAGGATATAACTATTTAAGCAAGTGCCTTCTGCACCCACTGATTAATATGCATTAATATGTACGTCCTTTTCGAGGCAAATATGCACAAACTAATTGAAATAAATTGAAAATATTATTCAAAATAAACTTTAAGAATAATGTGCTCCATGACTGGTAAATATCCTAACCATACACAATAATATCTCAGAATTCCAAACCTTGAGATCATATTCAAAATCTGGCTTAAGGTTTCTTTAAGTAAATTCATAAGTTAACAGATTCATTCACTATCATAGGACTACCACTTACACGCCACCCAAGACGTGGACGCCCTTGTGATGTTATTCAATAACACAACTCCAACCTTTAAAAGTTTTAAGCTACTAATTACCTATAGTTACTATACTCACGTCGTAATGTAATATGAACTATTCGTTATCACAATATTACCAAGACAGAACATGTGTATAACCTTTTATCACCCTTAGATTTAGATAACGCAAGCAATGAATGACTATTATTGTACTACATAAAAAAAAACAGAAATAATTTATTTAAAATTGTTATTCAATTTTATATAGGTACCTAATTTAAATTATTTACAGATTCATGTAGATAATAATTAATGCCAAAATTTACCCCTTTAACGCTTATAAAAGAAAATTAATTTTGAATTTTTTTTGTTTTACAATAATAACATTTTTATATTATGATATGTTCTAAAAAACTTTTAAACCTTAGAGTATCCAAATTCAAATTGATATGTATTTTTAACTAGAAACCTATTTATAGCGTGATCATCCAAGCATCCTCATCCCCCTTTTTTCTTTAATAATGCAGTAATTCGAAATCTGATTTTTAGAATTTTTAAATATACTTAAAGACCATATTTTCAAATTCTTGAGATTTCTTTTACAACTTCGGAAGTATTCCACCATGATTTCAAGTGGAAATACAAACTTATGTTTTTTCAAATTATAGCCTCCCTCCTTTATTTTTATTGTGAATTATTAAGTTCTGAAAATGTTTATGTAACTAATTAAAAATGTATACTAGTACTTTTTGAGTTATTTAACTTTTTACTTTATGCATGAATGATAATAGGTCCATGATGTTGGATTTGGAAGTAACTGTACGTCCTATTGGGATACATTGGGATTTGATCATTATAGTAATTGCTATTCAATTATCAATATTAATAATTTCTAAAAATGGTCCAAGTATAATAAATGATAGATTCTATATTACATTTATTTTATATATTTTGTAAACTCATTTTTAATGACTTCTATTCTTAGTATTAATATTTTCATAATTAAGAAACTACTCGTTCAAATTATAAATCAGGTACATCAACATTTTCCAAGTATCAAATAAATTTGAATAAATTCCTCGTCAAAAAAAAAATGGGGGTGAGCATGTTTGGTGAATCAGTCTTATAATGGGTTGTTATTAAACTTTCAAACCTTAAGGTATTCAAATTAAAATTGCTTTGTATTCTAACTAGAAAAAAATGTACGTTTCTAACTAAAATGTTAACTTCAAATGCGTTTGGGCATAAACTGTCGTATGAAAAAAAATACTTACTACAGAATCTAAAACTAAAATTGCCATAAGACATAAACGATCTGTATAAAATCTAAAATGGGACAAAATATACTGAATAATTTTTTTTTTTTCAGTGTAACGTGTCGTCGCCGGTTTTAAATTATAAAATAAAAGAAATATGCTAAAACTAAAAAATAACACTTGTTATTAAAATATCGTTGTTAAATTAATCAGATTAGATGGTACTATCAAAATATAGTACCAGGTACATATTATAGTACTTACTGAAAAATAATATAATATTCGTTATTATTGTTTTTTTTTTTTTTTAATTCTATAATTAGATGAACCTTAGAATCTAACCGATTGCGTTTGCGAACTTTATAATGTTATAATTAAGAGTATAATAATATAATACAGCTGCAAGTGAAGCATCGGTGTATAATATATTGATAATATATAATATTATTCTTACATTTTTAACGAAATTATTATTAGGTCGTTAATTATTATTGTTAAAAGGTTTATAGAAATAATTTAATGATGTAGAAATAATGATGAATTCATAGTATTATTATGGTCGAATATTATAAGATTCGATCGGAAACAATAATTACATTAATATTAGTTATTCGATAAAAGTATGAATATCTTAGATCAACGACGTTTTACAGTTTTCGATGGCAAAGTGCGCATTGTGTAAGATAGTGATAGTCGATGACAAACTTTACTCAAATTACATATTTTAACGGTTTAGAATTTTCATGTAACTAAAAATTATCACATAGGTAAGACTAAGTTTGGGTATAGTAGGTATTATTATAATACAGTCATGCAGGACGTGGGTACTCACATAATATACTAATCTTATGGATGGGTTCACATGTTTCAACATGTTCACTCTTTACAAGTTTGTATTTTGTATTCACTATTAGAATTTATTGTACGTTAATTAATATTATTATTGCGATAGTCCTTATCACGAACATTGTTTTGTAGAAGTGAAAACGATAATAGAATTTGTAACGTTTTAGCTTTAGATTACAAAGCAAGGATTGGATCGATTTTAAACTTATGTTTTTGTTAATTAGTTTATTTTTATATCAGACATTTGAATTGAAGATGTTAGAAGTAGGTTCTACAAAACATTAAATTAGACCATCCTGTATAGTATAAAAATAATTTCAAATATTTAAATGGAACACATTGAGCTAGAAAAGTTGTTGATAATAATTAATTATTAATAATGTTTTGAAATTTTCATTATTTGTTTTTAAGCACGGGGA